CAATACTCCCATATTCTTATCTGTTCTTCTCCCACTTACTCTCTTTGTGGTTTATATATATATATATATATATATATATATATATATACATATATTCAATTACTGATCTCCAGCATACCCATTGTATTCAGTTTCTCAATTCATCACATAGAATTCAATATCTGCACTTAACACAATATAATTCGATAATCTCAATTCTCAAGGTCACAGATCTTCTCCAAATCGGACAGTTCAAAGTCATCTTCTATAATATTCTAATCACAGTTTCCACAATACTTCTCTCAATCACAATTCTTCATAAAAAGCAAAGAAAACAAAAAGATGTAGCACTAAGCTTGTCCCGGCTTACGACTATCACAGTCTTGCACTCTAGACTAACTTCTCAATATTCAAAAACTATCCATTACTCGTCAATAACAAAGAAACAAAAAGAGATAGTACCAAGCTTGCCTTGACTTACGACTATCACAGTCTGGCCTCGACCTCCTTTTCCTCAACCTCTTTATCATATCAAAAGATGGACAGTCTGCCAGCAGTCCAAAGGTTATGATCCTTTGAATTCTTAACCATTTATTCCACTAACAACCTATTGTTACCAACTAAACTACCTAACCATAAGTCTAATTCTCAAGGTTATTAATAACCAACCAGTAACTTATCACAAAGTTTGTTTGTCTATTCTACAACGCAGTTTCGACTTTAGATGTATTTGTAGGTTAGAAACTTGGCCAAAAAGCTAACTATATATTGGTAGCTTATTGAACAAGTTATCTCCGTGTAGTAGCTTGTGAAAGAAGCCAACTACGTGGTGCATATATAGACAACTTGCCTTACAAGACAAGACATGTGGCTAGCAAAATCAAAACATGTTGGAAGTCCTACAGGATATCGCCATATAGCTCTTAATTAGATAGTATATATGGACGCAAGAGTGAAGCCTTCTTCACTCTTGTCAATGCATTCCTAGTCCTTAGTCTTATTCCAAGACTTTTTAATCTTCTTGTCTTTGGCAATAGCCATTCTAGTTCAATAATATATCATTTTTGAGTGACTTTCTAGTTCTCCTCAGTGATAGAAGAGCATATTGAGGATTTTCTTTCTTTGAGATTCATGTCCTTGACACATAGTAGAATATAGCTAGAGTATTTTTTAATCCAAAAGACATGACATTATATTCAAAATATCCATACTTTATCCAAAATTTTGTCTTTCATTCATTTCTTTTTTAAATCTCTACTAAATTATACATTCCATAGAGATCTATTTTGATATGGAACTTAGCTTAACTAAATTATTCCAAAAGCCTTGATGTCAATGATGATGGAGAATAATTCTTTATTATTATTTTATTGAGGCGACAATAATCAATATACATTTGTAAAGAGCAATCTTTTTTCTTCACAAAAAGCATTGATGCAGATATTGGAAATTTGAAATGTTGAATAAGTTTTTTTGTAAGATTTTTATTGTTGTAATCTTTCAATGTCAAAAGGTTATTCTGTGATTGATTGTAGATTGAATCAAATGGTGGTTGAGCCTCTTCTTGGAGATCAATGGTACAGTCATACTATTAGGATATGTACATACTTATGTTTCATCTTTTAGAATATGTAATTTTTTTAAAATAAATAATATTTTTTAATTTTTTAATTTTTTAGAATTATTATGATAGTTATTTTTGACATCAAGAACAAAAGATTTTATTAACAAACATAATCAAACATCATAGAGAAAAAATAGTATAAATTAAAATTAGTAGTTTCATAGCTCAAAAATATAATTACTCTACTTTTTAAAATTACAAGTCATTATTTATGACATATGGCATTTCTTTTTGTTTTAGTGCAAAAGAAGAGCATTAATAAAAGAGATTTTATTAGTTTTATTAATTTTAAAGATACTATATAAAATTAAATATAAATTTTGATAAAGCTATGCTTCAATAAACTTGATAATAATTTGATATGAAATGATCAAGATTTTTGTGATTGATATAATCTAAAAATGTATAAAAAACATATTTTAGATAGTAATGCCATTTTAGAAATGAATTCATATTAAAAAGATTTTTATTTTTATTATTATTAATAAATCTCATAATTAATTTTAACTATTAATAATCCACTTATCATAAATATAATAGAATGATATTTACTAAGTGCATCTATTTGTAATAAAAGTACATCTAATATAAACTTAATGTTGCTTCCAATAAGTATAGTATTAATATTTATTTTTTATTTTCATCTAATTTAATCTAATTTCAAATAAATAAATAAATAAAACTTTAAAAAATACTTCAGTCAAATAAGAAGAACATAATTTATATTTTCTCGTACCAAATAAAAATTTCTAAAAATAATTTCTAAAAAATAATCTAACAATGATAAGATATTACAAAAGTTATCAACTTGTAATATTAACTTTGATTTTAATTTAGTATAATATAACTAAAAATCAAAATTTAAAGATATATAGATGGTTTAATTTAAAATAAATAAGAGAAAAAAATATAAAATACTAATAAAATTAAAATTAATAAATTTTGATAATAATACTAAATATCACAAAAAAAAACTTTATACTTAGTTTAGATTGATTTGTAAGAAATTATAAAAGTAGTAGATTATTAAAATAAATCTATTTGTTTATATTATAAAAATAAATTAAGAATCTTAAAAAAATATTTATATTTGATGTCTAAATAAAATATCAAAATATATTTTTTTTTTTTAATTATTTATATATAAAAAAATTATTACAAAAATATGATTATAAATTTTTAGAAAGAATATATAAATTAATTTTATTTTTGTTTTTTTAAATGATAATTTTAAAAAAACATAAAATATCAATATATTAGAATAGAGATACAATATATACTAGAACCACAAAGTCTGCAAGTTGTAAAGTGTATTTTGCAAAAACTACTATTATGCCTATAATCTTTTCAATAGATAGGATCTATGGACTTTAAAGTGCAATATTTAAAAAAAAAAAAAAAAAAAAAAAAAAAAAAAATGCTAATACAAGTTATAAATATGATTAAAATCATGAATAATATAAATTAATTTAGTGATACTTCTATTATATTTTTTATTTTAAAAAGCTAAAAAGAATGATTCTTTTTCTTCTTTGTACATTATAATATATAGTTGGCTATGTTAGATAATTTTACAGACATCACTTATACTAAAAGGCTTTATTAAAGAAAAAGAAAACATAGCCAAGTTGGAATTTAAAAGAAAAGAAAAAATAGTCAAGGATATAATTTAACATTTAAGTTGTAGTTGAAAATTATTTATCATTAAGTTTTATCTATAAGATAACAATAAAATGGCTCATGCTACAAGTACAACCTAGGTTGTTATATACACACCTATTATATCTGTACACATACCCAAGACTTTTATTTGGCTCTTCTAGATTTTTAATTTTTTTACCTTTGCATGAGATTGTAGTGAGTAAAAAAATCTCTAAGATAATAACAAAAAGAGTCAAGCTGCAAGCACATCCATTATGTCTATGCATACATCGAAGGCTTTTAATTGGCTAAAGTCTTTTTCTTTGTTCTAGTGCAAGTTTCAATTCCCTCTCATTTTCTCCATTGCTTTGGCATAAGTCTTGGCCTTTATCCTTTTCTTTGCTTCAATGTAGGTATTATTATTTTAATATCGTTTTGATGTCATTTAGATGTTGTTTTGATGCATCACTCATTACACCATGTTTCAAGTTGTGACTTTGCCACAATAAGATTGATACAAAAGCTTTCATCAAAGATTATTACCATTAGAAAGCAAAACCTCAATCACAAAGGCTTGTTTTTTGATAAGTTTGTTGAAGCACTTCACTACTATGCTGCTTTATTTGATTCTTTGGAAAAGAGCTAGGATAGAAAAAGCCTAAAATGTCACATGATTGAGCAACAATTGATGTCATGTGAGATCAATTATATACTTATCATTGGAGATGTAGCTCAATTTGGCACAACGAAGTTCAATCTTTGGCAAGACAAGCTCAACAAAACTAGATATAATATTATTGCCTTTAGTACCAAAGTAGTCTTCCAAGCAGCATTACATCTATCTTATTCTATCATAACAAGGCTTATATGTTGCTAGAAAACTTTGGCACTCTCAAACTCAAATGAAAAGATCTTTGTCTCTTCAACGCTATTATATAGACTTTGACATAGTTCATAATGTTTAGGAGACACAAACTAAACACATAAAAAGCACAAAATAAAATAAAATAAAATAAACTTTGGTTGAATTTAATGGTGATGGTAGCATACATTGCCAAATTCAATCATATTGAATCTTTGATTGATGACTAATTATGCACACTCTCCAAACAATTTCCAATAGGTTAAGTGTGAAGAAAATTATAGATTTGTTTTAAATACAACTTTGTTTGTTGTCTTGCATGTCACTCAATTGCACTGCTAATGCCCATCACTGTGTGGTTGTGATGAAAACAACTTCAATATGTGTCCACACCAAAGCAAGGAAGATAGATGGAAGAATAGAATCTATATTGGAACAAGGCAAAAAGGATTCAGATGAGTGAATCATAATCCTATGTATATATATACATAATTAATGTCCATACAACATCTTCGAATGTATTTTATAGCTTAAGCCTAACAAAAATATGATTTAATCTAATTATATTCCTAAGATATATCCTCTTTCAAATCCTCTTGAAAATTTCATCTATTAAATAGAAGTTTTTTACACTCAGTGATGAACAATTTAACAATTTCAAGTTTGTTGCATGTATTCAAGTCACACAGCAAAGGAGTTAAAGGTTTTACCAAAAGAGCTAAGTGTAATCACAGAAGTAGGTGAAATTCAGGCACTTCTTCATTCCACAACCCATTAAAAGAACTGGTGAGTTATCTTCTGTTAAATTGTGTCTCATTGAGTGAATCAACGCTGTATGTCACCGTGGGTAACTATAAAAGAGTATATCATGATTACATACCACAGCAAACAATATATCAAAATGTGGTAGGCATAATCTCACCAATGAACCCTCAGAGGTGATGGTGAAACAAATGCTTGAGTACTTAACATATAGGTGATTAGAGCACTTAGGTTTGCAAACAACAATTCAAAAGAGACGATAAAAAAGAATGAAAAATTAAAAAATGCCTAGCCAAGAACGAATAATGAAAAAATTCTATGACAGTTTGAAGCTCATACTTCAAGGAACAAGAAAAAGTTTAAGCCAGATGATGCAGACTCCACTTTAAGACCTCCGATACAGCAGTGGAGAATCCTCCATATCCTGATCGTTGAGCATCTCTACAAAGAATCGATGAAAAGAAGTTGAATCCAAGAAACATCTCGTTGCTTTTCTCAACATGCGCTAGTATGCGTACTCATTGGTGATTGTTCCCTAACGTCGGCCACAACTGGCACATAGACAACACGTTTTCCATTTTCAGGAAGTCCAATTCCTCCGTTTTCCACGTTGTTATCCAATTCAATACTTCCGCCATCCGCAACCACTGCTGCATTCTTGGTAAAATCGTCCAACGCTTGCTTCAATTCGAGGAGTCGCACCTGAACTTCGTCCAACTTCTCAGTTAAAATAGAATTTGGAGCATTCTCTTTTTGCGGTAATGTGCTTTCAGTTAAAGTCGCCACAGACGATGGAGATTCGACAGTATTGAAATCTCTTGAGCTTGATGCTACTGGATGTATCCGCTTAGGACATGCCAACCCTTTCCTCAGAGCTTGATGCCGCTGATTTTTAAACCATCCATGAACCTGTAATCAGGAACGATTCATCTATTTATCTTTTGATTTGTTTTTGAAGTTCACAAAACTAGAATCTTCGAGTTTCATACACCTTGCAAAGATGGACTACAAGCGAACATATCTATTTGATTAGTCAGAGGATTACTACTGTACAACTTAGCAACCCAAGGCAATCTTACCTGTGAAAAGCTCAACCCAAGCTTAATTGCTAATTCTTCCTTCCGAGATTTTGAGGGCAGCCTATTAACATCAAGAATACACCGTAATGCCTGGCATCCATTGAATGAAAAATTTAGCCTCTAATATGATTCATGAATATGTTCTACGATGGTCATGGCTGGTTAGAAAGCACGACTTAATAAACTTGCACGCTTAGAAAGCCAAGCATAACATTAGGTCGAGGTATGTAGCATACCTCGACTGCGGAATCAGGCAATCGCCGCCACATCCGCTTTTCTCCTCCAGGACTGTCAGCTGCTCCATCTAGTGCTGGAATGTCTTGTGGTGAGCCTACTTCACCTTGTGAACCAGTGGGAAAGTGGGATGGCATATCTGGTAATCCAGAGGGTAAATCTGCATCGGCTCCTTTAGAAATATCTCCACTTGGAGTTCTCACTTTCCTACCTCGAATTCGGGACCTTGGCGAGTTAGGATCATCAGGAATGGTTCGTCTTCGGCGACGTTCAGGACCCCAATCTTCATCCTCAGAGATAACGTCGTCATCGTTATCGGCCTCCGCTTTACCATACATTTCCTTCAGCAAGCCGAAGATTTTTCATCCACAAAAACTCAAGGAATAGGATCTTGGCACAGCATAGCACACATGATACTAATTACGAGAAAAAATTGCTGTACATTCCCATAAAACTGCCAAGAGGACTCATAAGATGAACTCTACATAAAATCAGCAATACACGAAATCCATGCAGCCAGAGAAACGTAGTTTTCAAATTTATGACACAGTAAGCGCTGGTGAAATACTTAAGCTAGAACTCCTCACTGAAAGAATAATGTTGCGCAGAATATTCGTCCAATACGGATGAGTAAATCTCAACCTCAGCACATAGTATGTTAAGACTTACATCATGTAGTCTTTTGTAGTCCACAGCTTTCCGATGTCTTTTCCCAGCAATAATCACGGCTTCCTCGTCTGCTGCTGATACTGCTGCCTGTGGATCCCCACGTCTTAAGCCTAAATTGGCATTACCACCCTTGAACTCGTCAAAAAGAGAGACATCAGAATCATCACTGTCTGAAGACTCTAAATATTCACTTTTTCCTTTGTTGCTGATTATGTTACGTTTTCCTTTTCTTGCAAGTTTCTTGATGTTAGTGACAGCAGTTAGCTCCAGATTATGTTTTTCACTAGGCTCCTGCTCATCTTTGTCACTTACACCTGAAGACGCCTCATTTTCCCTGAAGCCGCTTACAGAACCACTATCCTCCCCGTCCTCCTCACTTTCATCACTACTACTTTCTTCGTCACTGTTTGCCTGCTTTCTGATACCTTCTGGATCAAAGTCGTCATCTTCATCGTCTGTGGAAGGCCAATCAACGTCAAGACCTACTGTTTGAGTTCCACTCCCAGAAGCTCCAGGAGGTTCTTCCGCTGCTTCCGGATCATAGTCGTGATCTTCGTCGTCTGAGGACGGCCAGTCAACAGCAAGCCCTATTACTTGAGCTCCACTTTCAGAAGCTGAAGAAGGCCCTTCCGCTGTTTCTGGATCATACTCATCATCTTCATCGCCTGAGGAAGGCCAATCACCACCAGCCCCTTCTTGCGTTCCACCGCCTGCAGCTATACCAGCTTCGTTCGAAAAAAAGCTCTGCGAGGTCGACGAACAATCAATCCACTTCCTCACAAAGGATTGAAGGTAAATCACTCGTCGGCGTATGTGGACCTAAATGTTCCGACCTTGAGGCCTCTACAACTTACGACAACCTAGTTATATAATGAGTCATACTGCGCAGCAATCATTGCTGCACTCACCTCCCAACTATTCTCGACCTCAAAACTGGTGCCAAAATATGAATTTATCGCTTCAATACACTCCATCTTGCAGTCGCATACAGGGCATAACCATCCTTCATCTCCAGGAGGAACTGTGCAATCCAATCAAAAAGTGATAAGCATTGAGTAATTCCTGACTTGAAAAGGGAATAGATGGAGCACAATGTTAGCATAGCGAGGTTTGTGGCGGACGCTCTTACTGTCTTCCGTAGCTAAAGGTGGGTCTAAGCAATACTGATGGAAGCCTCTGTTGCACGCCCCGTCGCACAAGATAATGTCGTTGTCAGGAAGAGCTTCTTGGGATTTGCACTTCGCACAAAAAATCTGAACGCAATGTGTATGTAGCATTAGATTTAAACTGAGAATTAAACTACCAAAGAAGTATGGGACTTTCAAACAAGAAAGATCGTTTGAAGAGAAAGGAAGAAAGAAAGAAAGAAATAGAACAGTAAAAGAGCCAGGGAACTTGAAAAATCTATCTCAGGAACCCTAGTTTTTTTCGAGATTGCCCAGAGAGTAATTGCTTTGGTAACAAACTGCGTGAAATAATCGAAAGTGACAACGAATACCTCTTCATGGTAAATACGACCTTCAGAATCAAAAGCGTTTTTGTCGAGAGAACCTTCTAAACCCACGTCATCGAGTTCATGAATAGCCTCCCGTATGGCCAACTTAGATCGCAGTATCTGCGCCTTCGCACGTTGTAGTTCTTGCTCCGGCCTGATCTTCTCGCGACTACAATTGGCAAAACATAATTTCAATGGGGATAGGCCGTTAGAGATTTAGGATTTGTAAATGGAATATAGATAGAGAAAAGAGATTAGCATCAGAAGAGGCCCGGCGACTATTCTAATGAAAACCAGCGGTTACCTAGAGGCCATAAATCAGTTACTGAAAAACACATACAAACCTACCAAACCTTTCGCGACTCGTCGGGATATAGCTCTACGGATGCAGGAAGACATTTGTTCATTCAACTTGAATGATCGCACCTCACACAAGACTCTCCACAAATACCTTGGGAAATACACAAAAGAGATATCAACCAAGTCGGGCCAGACTAAAGTATTCACCTCTGACCCTTCCAACCCTCCCCTGTGTACGCATCGAGCAGGTTCTGGTGGACTCGCATTTTAATGAGCAAGTACTTGACATGCTTTAGGATTCGCGTGGGATTATCGAGCGGCACGTCTGACTTCTTCCGTCGCCCGCGCCGTCGTCCTCGCCGTTCCTGCCCCGCATCGTTACCTTGCATGACATCCGCTGCTCCTCCTCCTCCTGCTGATGCTGCTGCTGCTGCCACTGCTCCAGGAGCATGATCCGCACCAGCATCGCCATCACCTGGCGTGGTCTGCGTCCTGATAGAGTGCGATCGAAGCGTCTTGGGTGTAATCACCGGCACTGGGGGGGCAGCAGCAGGCTCAGGCTGGTCCTCCCGCTCCACCACGCCCGTCGGCACCATTCGTCGCCCCTCGCGACAACACCACGTCCTCCTCGACTCTCCTCAGCTCTCCTCTCCTCCACTGTCTCTTTCTCTCTGTCTCGCTCAACTCAGCCACGCACACTCACCGCACACATCTCCTCTACTCCAACACCCAGGGATCCAAATTGATCATTCCAGAGCTGGAACCAACCTCCAACCCTACGGCATCAATTCGACCTACCGCAAGGCCGGCAATCCTTCCCTGCTTCCGCCAAACCCCAAGGCCACATGCTCCCAGACTCAACAACCAGTAAAACGAAGGACGGAGGGAGCAGGGCGTGCGCCAGAGAGCATGGAAGATGCTGGGGGTGGAGGGAGACTAATCTTGAGCGCGTTCCACTACAACGGTAAACTCAGCAGGATGGAGGATGAGGAAGGAGGAGTACCTTACTTTTGTCGGACCGGGTGTGAGGGTGCGGGGGTGCAGTGGACCTAGTATGTTAGATGAGATTGATAGATAGATTGATGGCAGGTAGGCCGATTATTGATGCTCCTCTTCTAGGCGGGAGGGCGGAGGGAAGGGCGGGAGCATAATGGGAAATTTGCGCGCGAGCAACACCAGAGAGAAAAGAGAGGGAGAGGGAGAGAGCGCGAGGGAGGGGAGGGAGGGAGAGACATAGAGAGAGAGAGAGAGAGAGAGAGAGAGAGAACTTCGTGAAGTGCGAGGGAAATGACAAATGGCGAGGGAAACTTGCTCCTCCTCAGGGATTGGGACCCAGCTCTTCCTCTCTTTCTCTCGTCCTCTATCTTCCTCTCTTTTTCTTTTTCTTTGGGCAACGAAGCAGTGTGTCTTCTGGTGGCCGGCACCGCCCCCTCGCCTCCCTTACCCTCCTTCTTCATCTCTCTCTTCTTTCTTTCTTTTGTTCTGTCCGTCCGTCTGTCTGTCTTTACCCTCGACGATCCTTACCCTCCCCTCTCTCTCTTCTTTTCTTTCTTTTTCTTTTGCTTTTCGTATCGTTATCTTTATCTTGAAAGCGTCGAGTAGTTTCTTTCTTCATCTCCTCCTGGGGTTTCACCTCTCTTCTCTGTCTGTCTGTCTGTCTTTCCATGTCCCCTTTCTCCAAGTTGACTTTTCTTCATTCGTCTTTCTTTGTCTTTCTATTCTTGGAGACGTCAGTCTTTCTTTCTCTCTTTCTTTCCTGATGCTCCCTCTCTCTATTTCTATCTCTCACTATCTTGGAGGTCTCACCCAAGACAGACAGACATACTATTCTAACAATCATTCTTTCATTCTCACGTCTCTCTCTCCCTCAAACCGTGATTAGAAGATCCTTTCTACCCTTGGAGTTGGTCTCCTTTTCCTTTCTCTTGTCTGGCAATTACATCTACTATCTTCACAATTATCCTTCCATGTCTTTCCTCTTTCCATTATCAAGTTTCTCAACTAAGAGTATATTTTTTCTCAAGCATTCACTTTTTTCATCATTATGTCTTGTTATTTTAAGAGTCAGTTTATTTTATATTCATAGTTTATAAATCAAGTCATATTATCCTAGGACTTATTTTCTAATCCCTTTCTTCACTTATAAATGGGTCTTATTATCACAAGAGTTTTTGTTTTCACTTGTCCTATTTTTTGACAATGATTAGGTGCTATTGTACTAGTAGCTTTTTTATTATTTTTTATTATTAAACTATTGATATGTCAATAGATCTTGTTATTGTAGATTTTATTTTTATTTTTTAAAATTCCGACTTTAAATTTGTCATCATTGTTGTTTTTCTTCTATTAATATTTTTTAATCCTATATCTCAATCTTTCTTGATTTATTATATTCTATAAATAGATTTCATTGCTCTTAGTATTGGTTTTTTATTTTGTTCTTTCTCATAATTGGATCTTTTTATATTGTTATGTTCTAGTTATTAATTGGTTATATATTAATTTTATTTTGATTAAATTATAGTATGACATGAATTATTATTTTACATCCTTTTTTGCATTTGTCATTAGATCTCTATTTAATTATTTCTTTATTTTTTTTGACGATAGATTTTCATTTTTTTAGTGTGTATGTTTATTTATTTACTTGATGGAAAATTTTAAATGCTTGTATTAACTTTATTGCTTCCTATAAGATATCTACTAGTTTTTCTTTGTCCTTGAGACTTTTCTTCTATTTCACAACTTCTTATTTTTAATTTATTAATATTATTTTAAAGTTGAGATTTTTTAATATATATATTAAATTGAAATTTTTTATAAGTTTTATATCCATTAAAACTTCCTTTCAAGTAAGCTATAGACTTATTTTTGTTTTTTCTTAATTTAATCATAGGACTGTTCTTTTACTTATATTATAGATATTTTAGGACTTTTAACTTGAAAAATTCTTTAAATTATAATTAATATAACACAATGGTATCCATTTTTTTTTCTCGACTTAGATTCTCAAGACTTATCATGGTTCTAATTTCTATTTAGAAGTTATAATGAAATCTATTTTTTTTAAGATTACTTAATAATTTTTAGTTTTTAGAAAAAGAAATTGTAAATAAAAATTTCAAATGATGATAGTAGCAAATGAATTTTAGAAATGTTTGGTTACAACTAATTACCTTAAAATTGCCTCAAATAAATTTTTCTTTGTTTCCTGGTTATTTGTAGAGATGTTCTTCACTTGAAGTAGTAAATATCTTAAAAATAACAAATATAAATATAATATTTTTGAATGCATTCTTTATTGGTGGATACATTGAAGTAAATAAGTCTCTTTGCATGCCTTACATCATATAATGTATATTCAATTCTAAAAATGATTTTCTAGAATTTTGTAATTTTAATTATAAGCATATTCTAGCAAATACTTGCAATGTAGTTTCATACTTTAAACAGAGATAACTATAATCCATATGATGCAATTCTATAAAGTCAAATCTTTCAATATAATTATTGTTTGTAATTAATATTTTAGGTTAAATTTCTTAATTTGATATATAATTATTCAATTATTTAATATCACATCATACTATCTTTTAGTTCTTTAGCTTAGTCATATATTATTTTGTACATTGACTTACATTATTATTACATTCATTTTTATTTAAGTGTATTCTAAGGCATCTTTGAATTTAAGTTTAGTCACTTTTTTAGTATCTTAGCTTTTATATCTCCATTCTAGTATTATCTTATTTATACAATATTTATAAGTAAAAACAAAATGTGATAGTTTTTATAAAATAAAAATATACTTTAAAAAAAGAATTAAATTGAATTATTAAAGACATCAAATTTGTAAATAATAGTAAAGTTTAAAACTATCAAAGATAATAATTTAAAGAAGATATATAAATAAAAGAAATAGGTATTAAAAAAAAATTAAAAATGATAATAAGAATGTATATATATTCAAGAAGAAATTAGAATGACTATTATGAAAGGCTAGAAATATAGAGACTTTTAAAACTATACTAGAAGCAATAAAAGAATTGATAAGAGTAAAGAAGGCTTTACTCTTGCCTTTCTATATACTATTTAATTAGAAGCTATATGACAATGTTCTATAGGACTTCTAATATATGTTTAAGAAAATAGTGCTTAGGTGCTTGTAAATTAGGGTTTAGAGCATCTACTAGGGTTTCTTAGATATCAAAAGATTGGGAGTGAATTTGCAGCTGGTTTTTTTTTGTTATAAAATTTAAGGATGAATTCTACCTATTCTATAAATTTGAAACAAATTTAATAGCTAGATCAAGATTTATGAATTTCTAAAGTTTGGGACAAGAAAACCCTTCGTAGAAAAAATATGATTTGAAGTGATTTTGTTATATTTTTGTATTTTATGCAATTTAAAAGAGTTTTGGCAGGCTAAGATAAGATTCATATAAAGGTTTAAGCTAAACTCTCTACAGCTAGATACTCAGTATATTTCCATATAACAAATCACGCCATACGACAGATCTGGTGAATCTGACGTGAAAATTTTTAGGGTAGAGAGTTTTGAAGAAATATTTTTAGCTTTCTATTATGGAAGGGGGGCAATGAAGTGGTAGTAGGAATTGCACTAGGAAATCTCCATTGCAACTTGATCCTGCTACAACTCAAATATTTCAAGCATTTGTACTTTTTATGCAACAACAGCAAGCAGTGGAACGCAAGAAAGTAATGACTTCTAAAGCCTTGCAATCTGTTGTTGGTTTATTGGATCAATTTGATAGAAGAAACATTTCCAAGTATCTTAAGTATTATTATGAGGAGATGAAGCTCAATAAAGTATCGAAGAAAGATATGATCCTAATGTTTGAGCTTACAGTTGTACCAAAGCTTTGTGAGCATATAAAGAGAATTATTAAAAGTCATGGAGAAAAATGGGAGGATTTTATCCTTCAACTAAAAAAAGAATATTCTTTGGAAGATGTAGAAAGAGTAATAAGAAAATCGTTTATGGAATAGATCAATAAATCTAACAAGAAATTGATTGCAATACAAATAAAGTCATAGAGAAAAATGGGAAGATTTTATCTTTCAACTAAAAGAAGAGTATTCTTTGGAAGATGTAAAAAGAGTGATAAAAAAATCGTTTATGGAATGGGTCAATAAATCCAACAAGAGATTGGTTGCAATAGAGTTATTTTGAAAATTTAAAAGACAGTTTCTTCAATTGTCTCAAGTGGAAAAGCTTACACTTGAAAATGATAAGGTGGAGTTATTTCTTTAATTAGCTCACAATGATTTACAAAGAGAGTTGGAATTACTATTGGAAGATAATACAAATGACAATGGACTTACTACTAATTAGAAGAAAGTCTCTGAAGCTATGGGCATACTTGCTAAAAGAGAGTACCGAAGGAGAAGGTGGTAGTAAGGTAAGAGACTAGACCTCCACCAACTATAATACCTCATAGATAATTATCAAAACCTGCTATATCCATAAGTACTATTCTAATTCCTATGTCTATATTTGCATCACAGAAAGATGTAATTAATAAGTTGGTAAAAAGAATGAAAGACTTACAAATCAAACTAGGAAAGCTAAAAGAGAAGGAAGAATTACTTGAGATCAAACCTGCATCAAAACAAGGATATATACAAAGATGTATTTGGTGTGATAGTATTGAGCATCCTCGCAAAGAATGTGGAAATTTTACTGATATTCTGTAATAGGGAGTAATTTTATGGAAAGATGGAAAAATTACATTGTGAGATACAAGTGAGTTTCTCAAAACCAATTTTGGAAAAGAATGGATGAAGAAGGTTTTGGAAGAGTATTTATCTCAATATGCTATGGCATCAAGACAAGCTATTACTTATGGCATTAAGACTATAAAAAAGAAGGAGGATGTTTTAACAAGCATGTAAACATAAGAGATCTTTAGAATCATGCTATTATTAATATAAATAAAGAAAAAATAATAAGATAGGAATTACTTAATACAGCCATAATAATTAAAAATGCCATAAGATGGAATGATCTTGTAGATACTATGTCAATACATACTTATTTGGAAAAATTCCAATATGAAGCTCTAATGGAGGTAAAAAGGGGAAGAAATGAAATAAAAGAAAATTTTGAAGAGCCAACTAACAAGAAGAGATCTCAAAAGTATGCAGAAACAACACAAAATAAAGAAATACCTATACCATAAGCTAATAGACTGTCCAGAGCTCGGC